CCGCCCCATTGGAATGAAAGTAATGTGTAAATTACTGAGAAAGAGGGAACAATTTCTGGTTGCGTAGATGAAGGATGGGAATTTGGGAAGTCTACCCTAGCAGTTCCACTGGTTAAATTACAGCTAGGGGAGCAGGATAAAGAAGCTTATCTTTTGTGGATACAGGTGCCTCTTACTGCCCGTAGATGATTTTGTAACAACAGAAGCAGCTAATGCCCAATAAACAAACAAACAAACAAACAAACAAACAAATAAAAGGCTTACTTATTGGGATTAATTGAATATAGACTGAGGAAACAAGTAGGAATACATAAAGTCTTGTACATGCCAGGTTACTCTGGCAAGAAATTAAATGAAACTGAAACTAAGGATCAAACAATATTAACTGATCGAGAATTGTAAATCTGCCTTTAACACAAACAGGGAAAAACAAGATTATAGCCCCAGAAATTTCAGAAATCTTGAATAAGATATGCTTAAGAGTGTGGGTATCAGGGATACCTAGCAGACCCAATAATGCAGCTCTGAACAGAAGTTCAGTTAAAAGCAAGAGTTAGCCCAGGCAGGGTAAAGCAGTGCCCTTTGAGGATATGTGACTGTAGAAGGATAAAAGATAATTTTTGAAGTTTGGATTACTAACTAAATATGAATGCAAATACAGTACTCCCTAAAGAATGTTACTGAGCCTTTTCAGCATCACCAATCATCTGGCTTGCCTGGGTGGCATTAGCTGAAGAGTCATTGTCTTGGGCTGAAGAGAAAATGCTATGTGTAATGCACAGTGCCCACCTTCAAGTAGCACTGCTCACTTTGGTTAGTTCTTGGATGTGGGGCAGGCTTTCAATAACAGTACTTTCACTGGATCTCAACAACCATAGCATGTGACTCACAACTAGTTTTACTCTTAGAAAAAAGAAAAAAAAACCCAAAATCTTTATTTATTAAGAAGTTTTGTTGAAAAGGTAATACAATAAAGATATGCTGCTAATGAAATCTACAGATTTTCAAATTAAATTCTCCCTTTGTCACTATTTCTGCACACAGTAGTAATGAGAGCTGTTCTGACAGGACAAACACTGGCACTTGTTAAGTGGGCATATACATCACTACATCAAAGATACTGTGGCACCAATGAATCAAAATGTTTGACATGTTCTCAACCCTTTATAGCACCTTTTTTCTCTAAGGCTATTAAAACAAGAGCGAACTCATGTATGTAGTCCAAAAAAAGAAAATCAGAGACATTTCTCCCAGGTCTGAGCAATCATTTCAATTACTTCCCAGGAGTAGTATAAGATAATAAAATAGAGAAATTGTCCACCAGGTGGCATGTAAGACATAGTATTAGGGTAGCAATACTGTAAACGCATCCAGTTCTGCTTATGCAAGACACTTGACCTTTCTTGTTGGTTCGGGGTCAAATGAACATCTATAATTATACAGAGTAATCCACCAGCTTTTTCACAGAACCATAGAATCATAGAATGGCTCGGGTTGGAAGGGACCACAAGGATCACGAATCTCTAACCCCCTGCCACAGGCAGAGTTGACAACCTCTATATCTGGTTCTAGACCAGACTGCTCAGGCTGGCCTTGAACACCTCCAGGGACAGGGCACCCACAGCCTCTCTGGGCAGCTGTTCCAGCACCTAACCACTCTCTCTGTAAAGAACTTCCCCCTAAGATTCAACCCCAATCTTCTCTCCCTCAGCTTAAATCCATTTCCCCTTGTACTGTCATTATTTACCCTTGTAAAGAGTTGACTCCCATCCTGTTTAGGCTCTCTCTAGGTATTGAAAGGCTGTAATGCAGCCTTTTCTTCTCCAGGCTGAACAAGCACAGCTTGTTCTGCCTGTCTTTGTAGGGGAGGTGCTCCAGACCTCTGCTAACTTTGAGGCCCTCCTCTGGATCCTCTCCAACTGCTTTCTGTCTTTCTTGTATTAGGGGCTCCAGACCTGCATTCAGTACTCCAGGTGGGGCCTCATGAGGACAGAGTAGAGAGGGACAATCACCTCTCTGTCCCTGCTGGCCTCCCCTCTTCTGATGGAGCCCAGGACACCATTTGCTTTTTGAGTTGCAAGAGCACTCTGCTGGCTTATGTTAAGTTTTTCATCCATCAGGACCCCCAGGTCCTTCTCTGCAGGGCTGCTCTCAAGGATCACTCTTTCCAGCCTGTATAAATGCCTGGGATTCCTCTGGCCCAAGAGCAAAACCCTGCACTTTGCCGTGTTGAACCTCATCAGGTTCACCCAGGCCCACCTTTCAAGCCTGTCGAGGTCCCTCTGAATGGCATCCCTTCCTTGCACCGTGTCAACCACACCGCTCAGCTTGGTGTCATCAGCAAACTTGCTGAGGGTGCACTCGATTGTCTCACTGATGTCAGTATAAAAAGATGTTAAAGAGCACTGGCCCCAAGACAGGCGCCTGGCGGACATCACTTGTTACCAGCCTCCACCTGGACATAGAACCATTAATCACCACCCTTTGTCTGCGTCCTTTCAACCAATTCCTTATCCATCAGGTGGCCTGCCCATGAAATCCACATCCCTCCAATTTGGAGGATACAGTGGGGGACCGTGTCAAAGGCCTTGCTCAAGTCCAGCTAAATGACATTAGTCACCTTCCCTTTGTCCACCAATGCCATCACTCCATTGCAGGCAGCCACCAGATTGGTTAAGCATGACCTTTCCCTTTTTGTTTTTATTTTTGGTCTCCTGTTAAAAACAGAAACGAAAAAACAAAATAAAAACTTTTGTTACTTGCATTCTCTGTAAGTGTTGACATGTTGACAGTGTCAAGCTCTTTACCAATCTATTGGCCTTTCTGGTTTGAGCAAGAAATTGCACTTAAAGTTTGTGCACTTGTTTTTGTTTGTGGGATAATTTCTACTCCTACAGTATCATCTCCTTTTGATATTTTACAGTTGAACAACTAGAGTAATAGGGACAGAGAGTTTTCGCAAATGCAGAAGCAATCAAAGCACAGAAAGCAAAGCTTTGTGTTGTAACCTTCACCCATTCGTTTTCCCTGGGACACCGCAGCTTGGCCGATTACCGAGGCGACACCAATATGGTGAACAGCAAAATGGCGCTTTAATGGAACGAACGTGTGCTTATATATGGAGGGGAGGTCCTAACGCGTTACAACCCGAAGATGGCGCAAGCGCCTAATACAACAGCTTTGTAAGTGTTCCATAGTTTGTATCATATCTGATCATAAATTGATAATCATAAATTAAATAAAATATATCCATGGCTTTACCTTCTCCAATCAGAATGGCCCAAATGACTCATAGCCCCTTACAGTGAGGATTATCTAGTTAGATTTTTATACACAATGTGCTCTGGAAAACTGTAGCAATTACAAACAGTACAAAAAGAAATTTGAGATAATTATAATTGGCTAATACATTGTAGCTATGTAAAGAATGGAGGAGAGGCAGAATTCAGAAAGTTTTCAGAAATAATTCAAAGACATTAAAAAAGGTTTCTTGCTAGGCTTCAACCCTTGACAGAGCTACAGACAATTTCTATGTATGTTTTGTGATTTCTGGCAGGTCGTTTTCTCACTTACACTCATAGAATCACTCAGGTTGGAAAAGACCTTAAAAATCATCTAATCCAACCATAACCTAACCGCACTACTTTTACTCTAACAACCCTCTGCTAAATCATGTTCCTGAGCACCGCATCCATACGGATTTTAAAACATCCAGGGATGGTGACTCAACCACCTCCCTGGGGAGCCCAGTCCAGTGCTTTCCTAACTTCAGCTCTGAGAAAAGGACAAAAATTCATTTGGGATTCTTACTACCTTGTACTGTAAATCTCTGAATTCTGTATGGATGGGGCCTTATAAATATTTCTATAATTAGTCAAAGCACGGTAATTTTTTTTTTCCTACAGGTTAAATACTGCTGATTAGCTGCTTACTTTTTAGACAGTTCTCTGTCCTTAGTATTTACACAAGTCTTTTTCTGACCTGCTGTAAGCCCATTAGTCCAAACCAGATAAGGAGTCTAATTTTAGAGCTGGAGATAGTGTAACACTGTTGCTAGTTGATACTTGCTATTTCATTGCATTTTAGGATTATGTAATAAACAAGAGAACTGCCTCAGAGAAGAGAATGACATTAATTACAATACAGTAGTGACCTTGTTTTTGGTGTTATTATTGCATATGTATATCTGCCTTTGCATTGTTAATTCTAGAAGATACTGTCTACAGGTATTGCTGACAGTTTTCTTCCCCATCATCTCTGTATCTCTCATTGTCTTTTTCATAGTTTCCATTGTCTTTTTTTTCTTGTTCTTCATTTCTTTCTTTCTTTCTTTCTTTCTTTCTTTCTTTCTTTCTTTCTTTCTTTTTTGTTTGTCTGTCTATCTGTATGGCTGTTGCTTTAGTTTTTGTTTGTTTGTTGTTTTTTTTTTTGGGGGGGGGGGGGGGGGGGGTTTGGGAGGGCTGAGTTGGTTGTTTTAGCTTGGTTGTTCTGTTTTTCTGTCTCCTTCCAAGTGACTTCTGTATATGTCCATCTCAGAAATCTGTTTGTATTATGATCTTTAATGCAAATATGAAAAATATTTACTACAGACACCTTTTCACTGATATTCTGATACTTCACTCAACTAAGAATACCTCATTATTCTTCAACAGTTAATCTACAAACTGATTAGTAGAGAAGAAGCCACTAGAAGTAACAAACAATTAAGAGGCCATGGCCACCTCATGGAAACCTCATGGTGTTTTGTTTTGGCCAAGGAAAACCAGTTGATTATTTTCAGAACTTGCATAAATAAAATAAATAAATAAATAAAAATGATAAAAATAAATAGTAATAATAATTAAATAAAAGTAAGAAAAGACCATTCAAGCTGCATAAAATAAAATCATGGATTCTCACTACCACTGTTGCTGTATTTGTTTATAAAGCCAAGATCATGGCCTCAACCTACTGTGTAAAAAACTGCATCACTTGACATGATGTCTTCCTAGAAAGAGGGACTAAAAACACAAACCAAATTTTAGAATCCATTTGAAAATCAATTTTACTTGATTTCCCTTAACTTCAATAATATAATGAAACCCAACCTTCAGTTAAAAGGATGAGTCACATGAGCAAACATGGATTAATAACTGGTATAACTAAGTGATATTATTCTATAGACTTCAAAGGTGTCTGCCTTCTGAATATCACCAGATTTTACAAAAGATCATTCAGATCAATGCTTTAAACGTATGCTATCAAAATAAGTTCAACTAGCTTACAAAAATGACTAGGCATTTTCACTTTCAAGAGATATGATTTAAAATGATACCTTTAAAGTAGTGACCAAGCTCTGTGGCTTCCATCATTTGTAGCCTCGCTATATTAACTACATCTCAAGAATAAGGATTGCACTCTTATGGAAAAATTAGGTGGTGAATGTCAGTCTTACTCAGAAGACTAACGGTCATCAATTTATCTAAAAATAATAGAACACAGATCACACAAATATATGTTTTCTTGTCTGGAAAAAAGCAAGAATTTTCAGAAGGAGCATGAAATCACAAGCAGCATGGATGTTCAGATTTTGTATATTCGAAGGCAAAAAAAGAATTTTCATAGAAAATATCCATAGAAAATATGTAATCCTTTATCGCCTTTGGAGAAACTGCATGCATGCAAGAGCGGTTGGTGAATCAGATGCTAGGGGAGTACTGCTTTGTCTTATCCACAAGTCAGTTCTTTCCACTTAAACACAACAACTTATAAACAGAATTAGGTAATGTTGGAGGAAGATCAAAGAACTGGATTTAGTACCAAAAAACATTAAATGTTGCCAAACTCTTTTAAAACAGCTAAAAGGAAAATAATAAATATAAATATCTAATAATAATATATATAATATATATAATATAACATCTAATAATCATAAATATCTAATAATATCTTATCTAATAAATCTAATAAATAGCAATATCTTATCTAAATATCTAATAGAAGATGATGCAATTACATCTGGTAACTCATTTCACTGCATTGTACATCAAGAAATGTATGTGCAAAAGCTTTAAAAATTGATAATTTCATGCAAAACTTCATCAAAGTTAAGAATTTCATAAAGTTCAAGGGATTGAATCACTGCCAATTCTAGGAATTCCTTAAAAGTGTGGATGCTGATTATACTTCCTTCAGAAGAAGGAAGATGGCTAAGTTGGGGTATAACGCTAAAAGGATTTTACAATGTCAAATCAGATACTTTTTACAATCAAAAGAAAAATTTGTGCCAGAATGAGAACATTAAAAATGGTTCACAGATTTGGCATTTCCATTTGATTTGACCACTCATTTCAATGAGACATGCGTCACCAAGATGAAAAATCATCTTATTTGTGTTATGTCTCAGACAATAGTAGCATTTCAAGCAGTAACAAGCTCAAGTTATAGCAAGTAATTTCATGCTTTTTGATACAGTGGCTAAACACAGTTCTGTGAACAGTGAAAAATAAGCAGCTGTATTTTCCATTTTGAGAAAGAAATATGAAAATAGGCTTCAATGCTCCCCAAAATATCATAATTTTTATATATTTTATATATATTTATATATTTTATATGTATTTATAAATTTTATATATTTTGAATGTATTTATAAATTTTATATATTTTCAATCAACATAAATTCTTTACTTGAAAATTTCGTATGGAATACTAGAGATGCAATCAGACACTCAACTCAACAGAAAAAAATTAGTCCTGTCTCTTTACCATTCTTTCATAAGCTCTATCTTACCAGAGAAAAATATCCGTCTCTTCAGAGTCACACCTTATTCATGTCATCACTTCTTGGCAGTACATACATTCATGAGCAATTATTACCAAGGGTCAAACACAGGAAAAGTCATACTTCATCAAAAATCTGATAAGCACCTTGAGAACTGACTAGGAATAGCAACCACTGTCATCAAATCAAATTGATGCATTAGTTTCACCAAAACAAGGTAAAACTAATTTTATGCTTTTGTTGCTTCATGTTCTTTATGTTTTTATAAAAACACATAAAAATAAATTTTGTTACTTCTATGCATTAGGACTATTATATATTTCATATGAGCAAACAGGAACTGTCATGGGAAGATCTATGACCCAGGCAAGCCAAGAGGCTGGACAATCATGTCACAAGCCAAAGTATTTCAGAACTTAAATACAAAGAAGAACAAGAAAGATTATGTTGAGCTGATTTTTGAACTGACCAGAAACAAGATTTTTGAGTACTGTTGTCCTTATCTCAGATGTATTGTTTTGGCTCCATAAGCTTTTGTTGTCTAAGTTTCTGGAAGAATTGTTCCGTGGAAAAAAGTCATGGACTATTACATTTCCAATCTTGAGTTTTAGAAGAAGAAATCAACAATTTAGAATGAAAAAAAAAAAAAAAATATTTACAATTCTTATTTATTCTTGGAAATATATTTCTTTGCTTGCTATGAATCAGTTAATACTGAGCCATGATATTTTGCTGTGTTAGTGCACTTTATTGAGTGTATCAAAGTACATAAGACATATTGATATTGTAACAATTAAACACAGAAACAAAGACTGTGTCTAAAAAACAATTCCCAAGTTTTAGGAAGGAAGGATTATTATAGAATTCTGAGACTGTTTGATACAAGAAGAAAGTGGTTTAGGCAGATTCACATCATTTGACTTAACACACTCATTCTATATAAAAGAATTTAATCTCAAAGACTGGCAAGACACTACTACGCAAATCAAAGAGCAATTCTGTTATCATGCTATGTACTAACTTCCAGACACTTGTTTGCTTTACAAAATATGCATTAATTTATCAAATTACCCCACAAAAGAAACAAAACCGAAGAAAACCTATGCATTTAAAAGACAAAGAAAAAAATATAAAATGTTCAAAAATAGCGAATCCAATTTTTGTTTCTTCAGAAACAAGCTCATTTCAGGTAAAAGCTATTAGATACTGCTATGTAAAGAAAACACAATTTATAATGTTCAGTGTTACAAATAAGAACTAATTTTGAAAAGATAATTAGTAGATTTCATGATGGTATAACTACATCAGCGGATGAGGAAAATGCTTGATGTCATCTATCTTAATGTCAGTAGAGACTTTGACACAGTCCCCATAATATCTTTCTTTTCAAATTCAAAATGTGTGGATTTGAAAGGTGGACTGATGAAGAAAGTTTAGTCTAGTCATACCTTGAGAGTGGTGGTCACTGGCTCAATGTCTGGATAGAGAAAGTAACAAGTGGTGTTTCTCAGGGGTCAGTACTGGGACCAATGCTCTTTAATATCTTCAGCAGTAACACTGACAGTGGGATCAAGTACATTCTCATCAAGTTTGTGGATGACAACAAGCTATGTGATAAGGTCAAGATGACTGAGGGATGGGATGCCACTCAGAGAGACTTAGACAGCCTTTGTCGGTGGGACAAGGAGAAGCTCATGAGGTTCAAAAAATCCAAGTGCAAGGTACTGCACATGGGTAATGGCAACCAACCCCTTGTATCAGTACAAGTTGAAGGATGTAAGGACAGAGAACAGCCCTGCCACAGTGGGCATAGGGATACTAGTCAATAGCAAGTGGACGTGAACTAGCAGTGTGTACCCTCACAGCCCAGAATGCCACTCCAGTCCTGGACTGCACCAAAAGAATGGTGGTCAGCAGGTCAAGGTAGATGATCCTGCCCCTCTGCTCTGCATTGGTCAGACCACATCTGGAGTACTCCATCCTGACGTGGAGTTCTCGAGTACAGGACAGGCATGGATCTGTTAGAGCATGAGCAGAAATGGAATACCTCCCCTGTGAGGACAGGCTGAAAGAGCTGGGACTGTTCAGCCTGGAAAAGAGAAGGCTCTGGGGAGATGTGATAGTAGCCTTTCAGTATCTAAAGGAGGAAGAGGACAGACTCTTCAGCAAGGTCTGTTGCGATATGACAAATGTAAATGGTTTTAAAATATAAAAGGATAAAATCACATTAGATACAAAGAAGTTCTTTTTTACTATGAAGGTGGTGAGGCACTGAAAGAAATCACCCAGAGAGGTGGTGGATGGATCACCTAACCTTGGAGACATTCAAGATCAGGCTGGCCCAGGCTCTGAGCAACCTGTTCATATTCATTTCAAGGGAGTTGGATTAGAGGACTTTCTAACTCAGAAGATTCTGTAATTTTATGACAATACTAAACTCAAGTAATATAAGTTACCCAGCAAAGATATTTATTTCTTGCATTTACTTTTGGTATGAACCAGTTAACACGGAGCTAACCGAAGATCACCGAAATATTTCTAGAGTTTAGGCACTTTGAAACATTGGTCACAGTTCTTTAAGTATAAATTTAAGGATCTATATCTATACTTAGAATCAGAGATCAATGTTTGGGTGTTTTTTTTTCTGATAATATCATCCTCTCTCCAGTTGCCATACACTTTCTCTCTCTCTAAAAAAAAAAAAAAAAAAAAAGTGTGTAATGTATATATTATTTATAAACATGCAGAGATATTTTCATCTTTGCAGACACTAATAGGTAGCTGATTCCAAGGTACACATGTCCTTAACCAAAGTTAAAACAGGATCACAACTTTCTCTCTGTTCTATTAACAGCAATTCTGTAATAGTTTTATAGCACCTACCTGAATCAGTATATCAGTATCACACATTCTTCTTGGCTAACGAGCTTCTTTTTGCAGAACCTTAATCCAAAAACAGTAAAAGTTGAAAGAAATTCCCTGTTTCACTTCAGCAGACACTGAAATATATATATATATAAATTCTCCTTCTTGATATTTTGCCTACTTTTTTGTAACTAACTTTTTTGACTCCATAACTGTATTATAACACTACAAAAATAATATCCACTGTACTGTTTGTACACTGTTTTGAAATGTAGTATTTATGATAAATGAATTTTCACAGAATTGTTTTCATGGATGAGACTGATCAATTTCCTGAAATTATGAGCCACACTGATATTACTGATAAATACAAACATTCAGGTAATAGATGCGAAATATATTATATTGCATAAACATAATCTTTAAATGCAATAAAAAACTAGTCTCACCATCTTGTTTGTCTGATAAATTTACTAATAATTTAGAACATGGAACAAGATGAGTGGGCGAAACACATCCATCTGTTCCAATAACAAGTAAAGTGCTGTAAGTTTCCCTTGAATTTGTCAAATAACCTGTATAGATCTTCAAAAAACATTGTGAATTCTAACCAAAACGTATCTGTTACAGAGGGATTAAACCATTATAAGTATATATAATATAAAGTACATACAGTATTAAACATTTTGAAAAATGTAATGAAAAATGAAAATTTGTATAGAATTAAAATTGAGATTTTGAAGTAGTGAGTGAATGGTAATCAAAGAAATAAAGTGAAAATTTAGAGATTTTGTTGAATCCCAGTGAATACACTCATGCAGGCAGTACAGTTCACTAATGTAGCTGTCTTTTCATATGGTCCTAAATTTCTACGTTATATTCAGTTTTTGCTTGCCTGCTTGTAGTCATAACTCCAGAGAGATTTCCCTTTGGAATGTAAAAAATTGAGTTCTCCTGAATCAGCTTCTACAAAACAAATGTTCCTCACAAAAACTTCCTCACACACGGGTACTTTGTAAGAAGAAAAAGATTAAATACAAGGCAAAATATCTCCTGGCTCACTTAAACACTGTCCTTGCCCTGTAAGTTTTAGAAAGTCGCTTTAATTAGTGGTTGTAACACAATGAAAAGCATGACAGTGATAGCAGAGTAGCAAGATCCCAGGCTGCGGTGAGTGAAAACTTGCTAAACATAGCAGTCATGGACACAGAAATAAGGAAAAAAACCTACTTATCCTTGGAAGGCCTCAGCTATGCAGGGATCTCCAGATGAGAAACCCTCAACTCCACTGCCAGCACTTCAATGAGGTCTGGGAGGAGGTAGATCCTGTCAGTACCCATACTGGTCATTCATGTGCACTGCATGCACTTGAGCTCCCCTGGCTTGGCCCTGCCTTACTACTTGGTGCTCAATCACTGTTTCAAGCCCTGACTTAGCGTTTCCACCACAGTGGTCATGCCTGTTCATGTGGCCAAAATCTCTAATACACTTGGATCTGAACATTATTTTAAAGGCAAAAAAATTATCCCAGTCTTTAATAACTAAAAACTTCTGCCAAAGCCTTCGTATGGTCTGCACTGTATGTCATTGTAGAAGTTAAGTTCTGTAACAAACTGAGAGCAACAGAGTAATGTTAATCAAACCCAGACTAAATGGTGTCTTTTTTCAGTCTGCCTTCCTTTTCCAAGTCTCACAAACTGCATTTCAGGTATTGCTGTCAAGAGTGTCAAAAGTTACGCTTTTAAGAAAAGTGTTATCTGCTCATGGGTAAGGTATTCTGCCATGTATTCATTATAAAAAGAAATTAAAAAAAAAAGGATGTTGCAGATAAGAAGCATTAAGAATGACTTTACAACATAATTGCAGCTTCTCTAGTCTAACCTTTCTTCAAAAAGGCTGGAGAAATCAATATTTCTCAAAACAAGAGAAATTTCTTTACTCCTTTTTATTACTTTCTCAGAAAACTGTAACATTCTTACTTTCATGGTAATATTGCAGGCTATGGGCTTCTACAATCAACAGATGCACAAAGGTAAGGCTTCATAAGATTATCATGATGGAAAGATATTTAACAAAAAAAAAAAAAAAAACGGAAATGCTAATCGGATTCATAGGCTCACAGTAAACACCACAAGGAGCAACTTTCAGAAAGAGATCCCTCCTCAGTGGTAGTCAGCCCTTAAATGGGATCTAGGAGAGAGGGATCCAGGCTCCACCCCTTCCTGGTAGCACTGGCAAATTGCTTTCACCTGTGCTCCCATGGCTGACTCATTCCTTGCCTCAGGTGGTCAATCAGAGGTTCAGGCTATGATCAACAGTTCCCATACAACGATAACATTACTTGATAGAGAAAACTCTCAGCTTCAAAATACTATTTTTTAACATAGACACCACCACTAGCTATGCATTTTTTATGTGATTTAGCAATGAACATGAGCCTGCATGTTGAATTTGTAAAAGTCTGCACCAGCAGAGGTAAACTACTGCTGCTGTCACCACTGCTGAACTCCAGCATCCACCACCTCACTGAGCTCCTGTCCGTTGTCTGGACTCCATTCAGCAAGTGTCGGTGAATGTTGGCGGGTGCAATTTTTTCCATACGGAGGAAGTCAATTCCTCAGCTTTGTGTCATCTGCAATTCCATGTCAAATGCCATTTCGTCAGACGGCTTCACTCCTGTTATCTGTTGGGTGGCAACAAAATGTAATGGAATACTGTTGAAAAGGTTCATCCTTTATTGTCACACCACCAGCATCAGCCTCTGATATTGTGGACGAATATAATAAAATAGGAGACATTACTGTTGAAGCAGACCTCATACATACACATTGAATCAGCTGTACAATTTTCTCTTCAAAGGCATAATTTGCTTAGGCAATCGACACCATCAAGAAGAAAATCTATTGTATAATGCACCAAGATCTACCTGACTTCCTAGTAATCGAGGTGCTGAGAATGTAACTTGTCAACTTAGTCAATGTATATTGATTTTATATTGCTTTTGCCACAGTGTATTTGGTGTGTGGCCACCAGACACTCACTCAGCCTCTCTCTCACTCCCGCTCCACAGAAAGCCAGAGAGAGATGGGAAAGCCCATGGGAATATTACCTCAGAAGTAAAATTTAAGGATTTAGCTTAGGGAAAATAAATTTCATTTATTCATCCCAGTCCCTGCTCGTCAGGTCTTCCTCACCCCTCCATTTCTTACTCCTTCGTCTGTAGAAGAGTAGCTCCTCTCCGCTTTCCCTTCCTCCTCACACCTCTCCCTGATCCAGCATGCGCTCTTCAGGAGCTGCAGGGTGAGCGTTGCTGGGAGCTTGTAGCACCTTCTCCATGACCTTCTTACAAGGTGTTCCCACTCTTTTCTGGGATCTTTCTCCTGAGCTTCACTCCCTCTGAGCTGCCTGCTCATTGGCTAATGGGTCCTGTGGGACAGTGGACAGGAACTAGTTGTGTCTAGCACCCCAGTTTCATACCACAAATCAGCATTATGGCAGGCCTTTCCACAACTGGACACCTGCACTCAGTGCAATACTATTTTGATCAGAAAGGTCAAAATAATGTTTCATCAATAATGTTTCAAGGAAAAACAGACAAATTTTATTTTACCTGCTTCATCGAAGTACATGCAATGGAATTTGTTTGAGAGAAGAATGAACTCTTTTATATTGCAGCTGGAAGGACAGAACCTGCCTGTACAAATCTATCCTACGCTGACCTAAGCAGAAGCATTAGAGGTCATATAAATGTTCCTTGTCTTAGTTACTTAATCTGGTTTCTATAATCTGAAGACACAATGAAGGTAAGGCTGCTGACACACTATTTTCAGTTGTTTTTCAGGACAATAGATTTAATGACATAAAAATGAATTAACTGACTCTCCTCTCCTTACACTCTATTAATTGAAGATACTTGAAGTTGAACTGGAAAAGCAGTACATACAAGATTTATTGTTCCCGATGGAATCTTAGTCCTGCTGCCTTTTATATCCATTCTGATATCACTGGATCAACCTGAAGTCCTATGGATAAAAGAAGGAATTATTTTAGATTTTCCTGAGGTTCAGCCTTCATCACAATATAAGATATCCAGTTGCATCTCCACCATCCCTGCAACTCTCTTCCTCCTCTCAAGTTTACTGGATTTCTTGTTATTTATTGACTTCCAACTTCCAAGGTCTGGGTAAGATACCTTTGTGGTTAAGCTCCTGTACTGATCTCTCTCTTTTTTTGCTATTATTCTTTTTTATTTTTTAATTCTGTAAATTAATGCCAGTTAGTGATTGCTACTTGGGTCACTATCATCTAATGCTCTCTCATCCCAAGTGTATTACGAGAATGAAAAACTATTTGTGGTTGAACTGTACTAACTCTGTCTTCCTTTGCTGCACTTACCTGAAGTGCTTTAAAAGGACTCAATGAAGGACAGGGAAGTATTTTCAAATTATAGCTCTGAGTGATGACCAGAGAATAAGAAACCTCCGACCTGAAATTAGAGGAGCTCTTGACACTGGCTACAATTCTGAATAGTAGTTCAAAGCCAAAGAAGAAACAATAATATTATGTCATTCACTGGGGAAAAAAAAAAAATCCACTGTTAGATTTTTAGCAAATAAAGAAGTATATATGATTACAGAGAGGAAAAAAAAGAATTTTTGGAACTGTGTCTAAGTTTGAATAAAATGCTTTTATGTGTTTACAAAATTATTTTAAAGGATGATTGTTGATCTGCTGAAGCCTTCTTGATTCTCCATTTTTCTCAGTTTGAATTACAAAAACAGTAACTGTATATTCTGAACCCAGAAGAGAAAATCTAGAAGAATATTCTGAATTTTTCTAACCATCTGTTGAAAAATGTCATGAGCACTTGTTTATCTGCACTTCTGTAAGTTCTCAACATTGATTGTATTTTATTTTCTGTATCTAATTACTCTTCAGAGTGATATGTTTATACTACTGGAAAACTTCTATTTTAGAGTGGAATTATGCATACAGTATTCATATGGATCTGATCAGAACTGAATAATGCAGATATTTTTATAGGTACATCTTTTGATAGTAAAAAAGTGTCATAATATATTTAAAAACCCACCACCTTTCAAGTAATAATGATAGCATCTTTTGTGAGCTGGAAGTTCAATATGAATATTCATTAAAAATAATGATGATATCCTGACTGTCTTGTGGGAATATTACTGTAGCATCAGAAATTCCTCC